AATTTATTTTTTTAAAGACAAAAATTATTTATTTATTTATTTAGAATTCAAAGAATACTATAATCTTAATGAACTAAACAAATCTCTTAGTACTGAAATACGATGTTTCATTCCCACCTACAGGATGGTGGAACTCCTTTTAATCATCGTAGTATTCCCCAATTATAATTTGCTCATCCTACTTCCAAGCAGTGATTTGATGCAATTCCTTGGTTTTGCACATCAATCCGTGAGAAAGCCATCCAAAACTTTGTCTCTTACAGTGAACAAGTGGAGGGCCCTCGCTTGACCAAGCTCAAAGCTGCTGAGCTGACCACATTCGCAACAACGCTAAAAAATGAAAAAGGTAACCGACATTTCAAATCGTAGATAATCCTCTATCACGTGTCGCCGACCAACTCCTTTTTGCTCAGAACCCCATATTGAACTTTCTATATGCCGGCGGGCATAACTCATTAGATCTGTGGAGGTCGGAACTCTCTGTGTCATCTCACTGGAATTTTCGTCTTCACCGGACACGGCCGACCACACATCGCCGACGTTGATTCCAAAAGTAAATGTCGATCGCCTGAGAAATTCTCGGTCAACAACTAATGCCCAGATGTGGACTTCGTAGTCAGTTGGAAAACTATATAATTAATTAATTAAATTAAACTCCATCATGTCTGTATATGACGTTGAATTACTCAAATCGGATAAAACGAAAAAAGAAGTCTAAATTCCCATAAAAACAAAAAGGAAATCTAAGTTCAAGTTTTCCATTTTTAAATAAACACTCCATTCTATATATATAATATCACAAACAAACATTAAAAAAAAAAAAAAACCAATCCCAAACATTAAAAAAAAAAAAGAAGCAACCAGTCCCAAGGAAGAACAACATCGACAACAGCACTAACACCAATACATGCTAAAAGAAAACAACACTTCTGCCACTTCCGTAGAAAGGTCTTTTTTGAAAATAGGTAATGGCCGTAGAAAGGTCTTATAAGTAAATCTCCAAGGTTGTCCAACAAAGAACCTGGAAAAAAGAAAAAAAAAAAAACGCCTGAAAAAGGATGACAGCAAAGAAATTGAACTCACATTCATGCATGGGTAAGATCGAGTTTAAAACTCAATCTCAAATTTAAACCTTCAAAGAGGTGAAAATGAATTAAGGGAAGAAGAGGGATATTCTCTATACAAAAATTATAAAAATAACAGTTAACCATTAACATTTATATCAGTTCAGCATATATATAACATACCAATCCACTCTCCTGCTCCCATCCTTCAGTCTTCATCGTTGAGATTGATCTCCATGTGGGGGTGTGCCGGTTCATTGAGGTCGAACTCCATCCTTACCTGTTGATTCGGTTGGTTCAGATTGCTCTCCATGTCGAGTTGGACAGGCTCGTTCAGGTCAAATTCCATCCTTATTGGAGCCTCTTCCTGTACTACGTGCTCATCCATGGCATCAACTTCATCAATTCGGTCGGCCTCTGGAGCCCTTTGCACTTCAATTAAATAAGTCCACGACATGTTATTTAAGAGAAAAATACTCACCGTGTCTCCTTTTTTCAGTTGAAGTTCCCTAACAATAGGCTTCCACCCACTCGCCAAGAGAACCACTCTCACACCATTTTCCCCTTTTTTCCTAAGTTTTTGGAGTGACGCGGTTGCTACAAATGGGCGACTACCCTCATTAGGAACTTCCAAAAACATATTCAATTTAGCCTTTCCTGCATTTTGTAGTTCTGGAGGAAAAAGAATAGGTACGTTCCCAACTACATCTTGTGGTAAGGTAAGCTTTCCACGGGTAGAAGTAGAATACTTGGGCAGTTTCTGAGTTGAAACCAAAGCCATTTGTGCTAGTAAGGTGTTTCGGCCCAAAAAAAGAACCTTGAAACTTGAAAGCTATGAAGTTGGTGTGGAGAAGGAAAGGCAGGGTACTCTTGAAGTCTGATAATCGCAATTGTTTAGTTTTATGGGCATCTTATCCAATACAAAAATTACACGTCTCAAAGAGAGAAAACGCAACACGTGGCAGAGAGCAATTCTAGAACAAACATGCCTAAGACGGACAAAGGTTGGCGACTTTTGTACCACTTTTGCCGTGGGTCCCTGCCGTATAAATTTGAGCTAGTCAAAAAAATTGCATGCCAGCATTGCTGATATTGACCCCTTATTCGAGATTTTTTTTTGAAAATAGGTAGTGGAGACCCCTATTCGATTAGTTAAATATTACTGATAGTTGTAGGGTAATATATGTTATATTGTGAGCTTCAGGTCTCTTAATTTACAACAATGCAATAAGTAATACCTGCCAAGGGTTGAAGAGGAAGTGAAGAGCTTACAGTGTCGACACATTATTTTGGTGTCGACACCAAACGGGAGGGCTTAGCTCAGAATCCCGACACGGAGTTGGTGTTGACACGTAATTTTAGTGTCGACACCAAACGGAAGGACTGAGCATCCGAACCCGACACGGACGTGGTGTTGACACATGGTTTTGGTGTCGACACCAAGCAGCAGGGATATTCAACTATGTAATCTATGCCTTTTAAGTTGGGATATCTATGGGTTTGAGGTACCCCTTGTACTTCTTTTCTCAATAAATATTACTTTTGCTGTTCAAAAAAAAAAAAAAAAAATACCTGCCAAGGGTTTTTTTTAGCTGGTCGGGTAATTAGTATTTTTGTGACAGATAATTGATGAAATGATTTTTTTAATTTGTGCACTTAGATCACTTTTTTGCAATAAATTTATATAAAAAATATAAAAATAAATATTAATTTTAATGTTAATATTTGTAGATAAATTTAATTAAATAATTACTAAATTAAATGTTATCTTGATGAAAAAAGAGAGAACAGATGCACCTTTTAGTGAAATACCTTCTAGATTTTAACAGTACTTTTTTTTTTTGACAGGTTTGAAATGGGGCTACGGGAGATCGAACGTAATCCCAATGGGTTAGGGGATGTACTTGTCAAGGTGGTTAATGCTATTAGGCCGAAAATGTCAAGTGTGATTTTAACACTATTATTGATAAAAGTAATAAAAGTTGATATTAATTTTAGTGTAAATGCTAAATGGATAAATTTAATTAAACAGTTAAAAAATTAAAGATTAATTTTTATTTTTTTAACATAAATTTATTACAAAAAAATGTATTTATTACATTCTTAACTTGTACCCTTAGAGTATAGATTAGAAAAACTTATAAATAAAAAGAATCAATTATTTAAATGACATGTAAAATTTTATAACAAAATGATATAAAAAAATTATTCCTAAA